ATTGTCCTTCTGAACATTTTTCTAGGCCATCTGATCAGATTTCCATCCTGACACGACGTCTGTGAAACTTAGTCAAGTATCTTTCTTCTACAATGCAGCATTATCCTCTTTTTGTCTCTCTTTTTCAAGCAACAAAAGATGCAACCACCGTCAAAATGACATCACTAGACCCTGTGGACCCTCTGTACCCTCCCCCTGATTTACCACACCCACCTACTCATTCCACCCCCATCCTCACAGGCAGTTCGTCCTTTAGCAGTTCAACTGACCAACCTTCCTTTCTCTGCGACACGACTTCCATTACAGAGATGAATTGTCTTATTGTCAAAAAACACCAAATGCCCCTCACCCCCCCCTTCACAGGAGAAGGTGGAGCCCTCAGGGGTCATTACTCCCACTGTTTGAAAAGCATTTTACGTAACGCATCACTGGATCACTGCCTGCTCTTCTTCTCAGACGATGGCCCTTTGACAGCCACCCCCAACACAACGGAGCTCCAAATCTAAACATGAACAGTTCTGGCACAGTCTGAGTGACTTATGTGGAAAACAGACTAGTCTTAAAACTTTTTGACCATTTGTATATTATGTATTTAAACATATATTAAGAACTGCATTAAGAATTAGTTAGTAAGCATTAATGGTTAAAACAAAGAGGGGACTGGACAAAAGAACCGTCTTTACAGTTGTTTAAGTATTCTGGTGTGTATTTACAATACGTTGGAATGTCCCAGAAAAAGTACCATAAAAGGAATGCGCAGCCTTTATCTGTTCAGTGCAACATGCAGTCGCTGAATTGTTTCATACTTGTAAAAATGTGGTCTTTGGAGAACTTATGTTGTTTATATTTCTTTTCTTTTGAAATGTCCTCAGTGTTTTCCTGCCAAACCGACAGACAGATTTCTGTGGGCTGGCCCTCAGCCAACTCTGAGCGTTTTTATTGTTGTTGAAAAATGATTTTAAATACATGCTTTACAGTGCGGCTAAAGGCATGTGCCTGTTTCTGCTCACAGCTTGTTGCATTCATTTGGGTGAATGATGTGCCATTTGAGATTGGAAAAAAAACAAACAAAAAAACATCCACACTCTGAATAGGTTATTTGCAGAAACAGTGTATTTTTCACGTCTTTCTGTGTAAACAATTCTATCTCAGCCTGAATGTGTGCTCTGTTACATTGTGCTGTTATATCTAGTGTTGTGTTCACTGATAAATTAATCATTCAATTGTCAAATTGTAGTTTCAGCCAGGTTAGCATATACATTTTTTTTTTTTAAATATTATTAGGAATACCACTAAACATTCATCACTGTTATTTCTTATTCTGAATCTGTGGAGCTCACGGGCTACAGGACCTGCTCAGCCAAGGCATGTAGTTTTCTTTTCCCTGCCCACAGAGATGAGTCTAGAAACCACATTTACTGTAAAATAAAGCTTTCAAATTAATAAAATACCTCCAACTGGCCAAGAATGGCTGGAAATGCATAGGATTTTGCTGCTGGTAAATGTATAAAAATTGTAGCACAGTGCTGCATGTCAATAAATAAATCCCAAAAAATGATATAACACTCAACACTCAGCAATTTGATCATGGCCTCTGTGACCCAACCCGAGCGAGGAGTAAAATTTCAAAGCTTGCTGAAAGTATTCCAAACACTAGTTGTCCTTAACAGCCCAGGCTAATGAATTCCATGGCAGTGCGGTGGGAGAAACAGAGCTTAGCTAAATAAACCTTGTCTGCCTGAGTGGCCCCTCTGGTGGCCAGCCCTGTGGGGACTCGAGCGTCCTGGTCTCTCACAGGTCAGTGCATGTACTCAGTGTGAAGCCTCCACTCACCTTTAACTCACTCTGACATCCACTAGCAACATCACACCGGTTCCACATCTACTCTGTCACAAGGATAGGCTACTGTTAGCAAGGGCCATTGTTTGCCGCTCAGCTTGAACTGACAAACCTTGTCTACGGCCGGTTCACAGGACTTGTGCTGGTTGAAGCTGATAACAGAGTTCACTAGTCCTCCCTGTGACACGCTGATTTTTTTTTTCTTCTGTCTTCATAAACTATTCACTTTTGGACCTTATGCACAGAGCAGATCATCATCTCCACTCAACATGAGTCTGAGCAGTTCAAAGACAGCATTGCTTGGAAGTGTGCACACCACCCCAGGAGTCAGCGGTCTTCGGACACCTGCAGGGTGGTGGGTGCTGAGAGAGCTTGGGCGTGTTTGGATCAGGGACTGAATTTTTTCTCTGAAGATGAGGAAAAGGTTTATGGCACGCTCCCATGAGACTTTCTCCTGCTCTTTGAAGCTCCTGTCTTGGTGGCTGCTCTTATCTTGGGAAAGGATTATTTTATCTTTTTTTGTTCCTTTCTTTTTCTTCTCTTTTCTTTTCTTTCCATCAACATAGCTTTTGTACGGCTATCTCAGAAAGTGTTCTCCTTACCCCTGCCCTCTCACTCCACTCATTCCCAATTCTCCCATTTTTATGGGACCTCCAACCTCTTTTCCAGTCCCACCCCCACTCTATTGCCTACATCCTCTCCTGCACCCCACTTGCTTTTTCTTTTTGTACCCATCTCCTCTCTCCTACCGTTCAAACACATGACAGACTGTGTAATTAATGAGCATCATAAACCTCTCTTTCTATTAGCTACCCATTAGTAAACCTGGCAAGCCTGTCATTTTGGACAAAAACACACAGCTCCTTCATTTGATCCCCACTTCAAAGAGGGAGCCCCACTGTTTTCAGCTGAATACACTAATTGTGTCCTCGTTCTGGATGAGGCTACACCCCCCACCGCTTCAAAAAAAGCTGCCAGTGCTAAGCTCAGATAGTAAGGAGAAGTACAGAGGCAGAAAGTATTGATTACACAAACCTGAAAGTGATCAACATTAAGTGGGAAAATGACCAGTCACTTAGAAGCATACCTGAAATATTCCAAGTGTTTTTGGTGATTCTTGTCATTTTAACTCAGTAAATATTTGTTTAGTGCAACTGATAATGAAGCTTTTGAGATTAAAGGGAATCTTTAAGTGTCACTGCCATATTTGAAACTGAAAAAATAATAACAGTCAAATAACCTTCTCTACTAATGTGATCAATTAATGATTTATACTAATACATTTATCAATAAATTAAACCAGTGTTTATATGTTTTATACAGGTTAAATAATATATTTCAATGACATATTATAATGAATTTACAATCATGTTATCAATTGGGTCTTGTTACAGTGACAATGATATAAACAATATGATATAAATATACTGACTATTTTTGTTGAACAACAAACCACAGCTGAATTAAATGTTTACCAATAAATGTTTACCATTAAGTTAGTATGATTCTATATTTCTATTTCATGCAGTATTCAGAAGGATGAATGCACGCCAGACCTTTTTTTACCTCTCTGCTTCCATTTTCTTTTAACACTTGTCACGCTGGGCCACCACAATGGTCTAAGTCAGGACCTCTGCAGGAATCCACACTGTACTTCAGTCACAATTGTCATCTGCCCTTTACAACATATATGGTCTTTTGTTCCGCAAGATAAAGGCAACAGTCACATGTTTGAGCCACAGCGCCCAGCAGCTGGTCTCCTTTTCCTCTATATGCTTAACATCCCCCTCCTCACTCCTCGGCAGCATTCCTCCCATGGGCTTTCCCGGCATCAGGCCCCTAACGCTGTGGTCGGGACATAAACAAGGACAGGCTGATACATCTGAATCTGGTCATGTCAATTCACCCCCATTATGCCTGTCTCCTGGGAGAATACTTACGTTTACTATGGAATGAGTTGGACTTGGCCACCAATGTAGGAGCTGGCTCAGGTCAGTGAATACCTTCACCAGGTCCCCACACATCTCTGCATGATTTCACAAATACTTTATTAAGAGCCAAACATTTATTCTTATTTCACAAGCCAAAAGAAATGGCCCTCACACCAATGCTGATGGATCGGGTTGGGGGCTCACATTCATGAGATGGAAGCCTTGCTTTAAACCCTGCCACCTCCTCTCTCTCAGGCATCAAAAGCAAAGCCTGGAAATAAGGCCTGCAAAACCATCTCTCCGTTGGCCTCTTCAAAGGACAGGAAGTGTGTCAGAGGGACAGGCCTTCTTTCCCAGAAAATTCAGACGAGATGCTATAATAACAAGCTCATCTCTGTGTATGTGGCAGACTAGTTCAAAGGGGAGCCAGATTCCTCTTGGTACAACATGTGATGATAGAGTCAAGATGCGGAAAACACTGCTTAGTGAAATTCTAACTGGAGGACATTCCCAGAGACATCTGTCCAGTGTACAGCCATGACCCAAAAAATATGTGAACCATTCTTAAATACCACTGTCATATTCGGTTAAAACCTTTTCTTTGCAAAAGGTAAACAACTGTTTACACAGTGGACGGCTGTGAGGAAAAGTGTAAATTGTTTAAGAAGTTTGTTGAAATATGTCCGCAAGTTGGACAGTTCAGTGGTCTCTTAATCACTGAGAAGACACTGGGATTGTGTGACATTCTCAGTGAAAATAAAGATTCTTGAAAACAGACCTTATAAAAAGAAAATCAGCAATATGACACTTTTAAATCTTACACTCACTTTGTCTTTCTCAGTTTGCTGATTTAACGTCTACTTTTATTGCACAGAGACAACAACACACTGAACTTTTGAACAAGGTATGTACACTTTAATAATTCCATTCTATCCTCCCCATTACACCATATAATTCTTCCATAGAATTGTACGATTGTTCCTCATTGTACCCAGAACACACAACTTTTTAATATTTATTTCATGAATTATTTATTTTACAATTGTTTCCCGTACCTTACTTTGCCTTAAACACTAAATTGTGTGTGCCTTAGTTGTAAAACATTTTTAATTTACAAATTTAGAATTTACACCACTACGGAGTTATAAGGTTGATCACAATTTCCTAACTTGCTAACATAAATTATTCTTGAATTCACATTGAAAGAGAAAATGACTACATGTAAAAAAAGTGCTAGTACTAGTACTTATCACTTATTGTCTTTCTGTAATAATATTCTTTTTATCGTTGATAGTACTGTATGGTCACTAAGCAGTACTGCATAATAACTTGTGTATAAATACTTGCATGACTGTAATTTATTTTCTCACAAACTCAATTGATTAGAAGATTCCTGTGGCATCTCTTAAAAAACATGCGGCCCTTTACTTTAGCTTTCTCACAAGGCGATGCCCACGCTGTGTATTTATTGCTGTCACACTGAGCTACAGTCAGCCTGGCATGAAATGGCACAGTGGCCTCAGTCTTTTATTATATATTTGAAGACTTCAAAGAATCTTCGCCTACTTTCATCTGCTGCCTCCGTCCTTTAAGACTGCAAGCCTCCTGTCAAAGCCACGTGCATGACAACCACTGAGGCCACTTTTGATTTTGTTATTGATGATTGGATTTAGTAAAATAACAATTTTGTGATGTTAGAGGACACTAAATTAATCTTAAAGAGATTATCTGTTCTTCTCGATGTGACAACATTATCTGCACACATGCAAAGTAACTTTTACCAATGTTGGATTTTGGTTTATTAACTGTTTACAATGTTTGCAGTTTTTCTCAGTAAAAGGAAACGGAATATACAAATACATTATTTATTTAATCTAAGTTTTAATTTTGTACTTGTCAGCTGTCAATCACAGTAATCTGGTTGTCTGGCAGGCTAAAAATAAAGCATCGCTCTCTGATTCCGTGAAGCTGCACACCGTTAGAAAAGATGAACTAAACTTTTTGAAATACCCCACTGTAAACGAAAAACCAATATAAAACACTCTCTAACAGCTTCTGAACAAATACTGAAAAAACCTTCCGTAATAAAATGTTTTTATTTTGAATGATAATTTTACTTCTGATGCACTCGCCATGGTGATTTCAAACAACTGGTTTGCATTCAATTACGGCATTAACAGATCACCCTTAAACTACGCTCATTTCTGACAATGCTGCGTCATTCAATTATTAACATTCCTTTACTTTAAAACGTTGACAGTGAGCAGCTGTAATTTTGTTTAAGCGCTTCATCTGACAGACTTTCAGGTCTTCGCAACTAATTCGTGGTCCGTGCGCATAAAAAAGGGAGCAGCGTAAAGGCACAATGAAAATGAACTACGCCCGGAAGTACAGTCTTTTATTTGAAAATAAAAAGAATGGTAACTGTTAAGACATGGACAAGGTTAAAAAAAGAAAGCGCTTTATTGTGCACAATATTTGTTTTCATGCCTATAACCATATTTAAAAAAATAAATTCCAAATAATAACGATTTTTTTTTACCCCTACGAAAGTTTAGGTAACTTCGATGAATTTGCCCATATAAAAATTCTATAATTATCTGCTTCTTTTATAGTGAAAGGGCAAGGCGGAAGTGGATTATTTCCTTTGCTTCTCTCTTGTGGCCGCGGATCAAAGACTCCAGTTTGGCTCCAGTCTCACTCCGCTCAGTCTGTTCTCATGTCACAGACACTTCACTGACTGGATATCACAGCCTCTGCATTTTTCTTTTCTTATTTACATTTGACGACTTTCTCTTTCGGATTACATTCATCTGATGCTTTTCAACTACACTTCGATGCATAGAAATGGGTAAACTCTACTCCAAACATGGTAAGAATTCTCCGGAGTGGAGAGAACGGCACGGCTCTAGTAGTTGTTCCTGCGATACTTTCGAGTAACACTCTTCATTGTCTTGTGTGTCTTCTGTTTTTCTTTCCCCAAAGCCACTATTTGTAAACCGAGGGAGAGTCCTGAAGGTGAGCTCACCTATTGATACCTTTTCTTTTACTTTTATCATGTTTGACACTGTCTAAACCGGTCTTTGTTTTCCAGGCGACAGTTTTGTAGTAAACGCCTGTTTGGCGCGGAAGGGCATAGACGACTGGCTGGTGAAGCAGAAGTACTACTGCACCAGTCCCCGTCTGGAGCAGCAGGACTGCCACCACAAGAGAAACTGCGGCTTGACCGCAAGGGTGAGTACCACCACGACCGTCACCATCACCACGGTCACCACCAAAATGTCCCCGAGCTGCATGGAGACACTGTGGAGGCGCATGTGAGGAACGTGTGTGAAATTCTTAAGCCTTTCAGCGATGTTACTAATGATTTAGTCAAGACTTTCACCGCATCAAGTCTGATAGACTTAAAGCTTGTACTTCTCCAACAAACTCACTTTGACAAAGTTGGAGAATAGACTTCTGTTGACTATACACTTAAGCTCTTTGCTGCTGCAAACAGATGTGAAAAGTTTTGCTGGAATTCAGCTTTAGCAAAAAACACAAGTCTTAAGTAAGATTTTTATGAGGGTCTGTTTTTAACCAACATCAGGTTGCCATCGGAGTGTGTTTTTGGCAGTTTGAATGGCAATTTCTGTGTTCTCAATTTTCAGGTCTTGTTTGAAAAAACAAATCTAGGTGTAGTTTCTATGTTGGTGAAATTTCATAGGAGCATATGAGAAAGGTACCAATTAATCCATGGTGTTATTGAGTATTAGAACTGAGATTGATTGAAATCTGGGATGCCAGTTTGCTTCCAAAGAGTCCTTTGGTACAGATTGATTTATATGTTACCAACAAATCATGAAAAAATTGCATACGTATGGTAACAGAAGGAAAGGAGCAGAGGATCAAACATGGAGCAGTGAAGAGTTGGAACAAATGCGTTTTGTTGAGCAGCCAGCATTGTTGTGGGAATTCCATGAGATCCATTCTTTCTTTAAAGTGGTGATGGAAGTCCCAGATTAAATGCTGAGGGGACCAGGATGTGGTACCAGCTAAGTGAATCATTCGCCAATAACATGCATCCATTGTGTGAAGTTAATGCACCCCCTCATCCAGCCTGATGAAAGAGTTGCATGTTTTGTGTGCAAGTGTGTTTTCGAATTAAGTGTTTATGTAGTTTGTCTGCATGGGACATTGTTATTGTCTTCACTGCAAAGACACTTTATGTTTTAATTACCAACACATCCAACCAGTCTTCCAGAGGTACATACAATATGAGGGTTGGTGTGCTGTTGTTAAACCCTGGCACAGAGCTAGTTAGCACGTTAGCTTCTTTGAGGATAGAAAATACACAAAACAAAAACATGACTGTTTGAGGATAGGAAATACACAAAACAAAAACATGACTGTTCAGGGCAGTGTCACTTTAATTTAGAACTACTGATACGTCTCAATTAGCAATGTTACATTAACCGTAAAAGAATATTCCAGGTGGGAGAAAAAAAATCTCAATTGTCAATCAATTCTCAATCTAATTGTCTTGAATACAAAAGCTCAAAAGTGTAGTACAGCAAAATAAAATGTATCCCACTGTATAGAAACACTTGTAGAAGATTATATAAAAGTGTATGATGCTCTTTTTCCATAGCCTTAGTGCTGTGGAATTACCTTTGACGTCATAATGACTGGTTAAAATAAAGAAGTGGTTTATTTCAGCTTTATGGCACACAAACGTTGCATGGCATTGGTTCAAATATCACATTTTACATTATAAAATGTTTTCCATCTTGTCTTTCCACGATTGATGTGAGTGCAGAGTAAAGACCCATTTTTCTTACCTCCTGTTCATTGTATTTGTTCCACATTTGTTTTATTGTGACAAACTAAATTTCTAAAGTCTATAGTTGAACTCTCATTTGCCTGAGAAGGAAACAACTGTTGTGCTATTATCTCCCTGATCAGAGGAATTTTACAGGTGACACTAGATCAAGTCTTAGTTGAAAGCATTGCCATGTGGCGGGTTGGCGACAAGTGTGGATTGTAAAAGCTGTGAAAGGATGTCGGAGGTCATGCTTGTTTTTTATTCGCGACTTTGGTGTAAATACTCTGCATTTGTTGCCAACGGTGAAAATCCTTTGGAGCTGCTTCAGAGGAGCCTTAAGCTTCTTTGGTTAGTGATGCCTTCCTCAAAGGCAAAATGTTTGAGGAATTAGAGCTCATCAAGAAAAAAAAAAGGGAAAATCACCCTCTCCACTCTCAAATCCACAGACTTTGAACAAAAATGCTACTGTCAGTTAAATGCAGCCTAGGCAACAGGAGCTTTTTGTTCATTGGCTTATATGATTGTCATGCTGAAGGAATACATTATATTTCTTTAGTTTATATAAAGAATGAATATATATATATATATATATAACACAAAACTGGTAGTTTGAGTACATTATCTCCTGATTACCACAAGCTCAAAGCCTTTTTTGATTGTTTTTTCTTGCCTTTGTTAATGAGCGATAACTTATACTGCAGGGTTAGTAGCTTTACATATTTGGCTGCATGGTGGCAAAGTTATAAATCCCAACTTACCCAGAGCTGCAATAAACTTCTTGTAGTAACAGGTCACAGCAGATGTTGTGTCTGCAGGATGTTTTTTTTTGGATTGGTGCAAAAAATAAATCAGGAAAATACGTTTTTGGAACATGTCGACACAGCTGCAACAGAAAGGCTATATGGCTGTTTTTGTGAGGTGAATTCGTGCTGGGCAGTCTGCGTATACTTTTATAACCACTTCATGCTGCATAAAGACCTTACATTTTCACCAAAAGCACGAACAACTTCTAAGTAACATTTGGCCCAAGATGGATCTGGAATTCTATGCAACAACAAGAATGTTTAAGAATGATGGAATAGTCTCGAAAAAATATTTTCATCTGTTTGAAGTATTTTTGCAGGTAGTATTTTTCCAGGCATATTTCAATTTAGCAGAAAAAATGAACTGTACAGCCAAAAACAACCTGTTAACTTTTAAGAGAATAATGTTTTAAGTGTATTTCCACACTTTGTATCCCTTTACAACACATTATCTATAATTCCACCTGATTAATGCGGCTTCCCTTCTCCAGAGATGTCATAAAAAATGACATCTAAGTAGTCATGCCCCTGTGCAGAAACTGTAGCACATTTCACTATATTATAAAACAAAACTAGTCTTACAACTTGTTGAAATGTTTTCAAAGACTGCCACTAACATCTTTAGTGGCAGAATACAAGTCAACATGCTCAGATTTAAAAAATGTCTGTATCATATGGAATACCTGGTGAGACTGTTATTTATATCTACTGCACTTCAAGCCCCCCTTCCAGCTGAACTGGCTCTGGGAGAATGTGGGTCGGGTGTCAACAGTAGGGAGTCCACGCTTGGAATTCTTTTGATCCAACCATTTCCAACCATATTCCCTACGGCAACAGTGTTGGCTAATAGAAGTCCCTGTTTTGCAGTGCTGCTCATTTTCAGTTTGTCTAATGAAACTTTGGCTGCCTGCATGCATGCAGCTGAAGACATAGGTCTACAGTGATCTTAGATATATTCTACCAAAGAGGTCTAGCGACCTTCAAGGAACAGAAACCTTTGAGGTTCTTGTTTAAAATGGCTTATTGTGTTTTCATCTAAATCCCACCCAGTTCTTAGTATCCTCTATGTGCAGATGTTGGGCCTAGAATTGTTTTTGTTACTATTCAAAACTTAAAATTAAAAATCCTGACCATTTTCAAAAAAAAAAAAAAAATTAAACACAAAAACCAGCATCACTGCAATACATCCTGGGGCCATTAAAATGAATGAAGCAATTTGTTTTGAGTGATTTAAAATTTTTGCTAGCTTAAATATTGTTCCCCTGCTAACTCCATCTTGAGGCTTTAATCATCAGATGCAGTGTTAGTCCCATGGAGAGGACAGTGATTGAGGGAATGAGTGAGTGGTTTGGGCAGGTGGATTTCTGGCTCTCAAAACATCAAATGTTGCTCATGACACATCGTCTCCCCAGTGTTTGAGATCATGTCTGAACTTCCTCATTAATTTCCTATGATTTGTGAGTGTAGTTGGGTTATGCTGTGGACACAGTTACAGATGGAGCCACCTTTCAGCAGCTAATCACTACTTTTTTCAAATGGCTGGTAAGTTTATTAGGTGTGCTTTTATTGAATTAAATGAAAACGAAAAACAAATTTAATTTGCCACAGCTCAAGAGCAATTTCAGGAATAATATGCTTGGTAGGTTATTCCATACAAAGTAACTTTTTGTTTTTAAAACCCTCCCCCTCTCATGGTTCTCCTCTCTCCCCTCCCAGTCTCCATCTGTTTCTTTCGTTTACCCTGCGGCAGTGTTGGCTGAGGGTGTATTTGAAGTGGGCGATGCTTTGAGGTGTTTATTGTGACACTGATGGCGCCTCCACCTCCGGTCTCTACAAGGCCACTGAGCTCTTCTAATTCCCAAGCATGAAGTCTTTTTCTTCTACCTCCACCTCCACTAGCTTTTTTGGGGTAAAGAGCAAAGGTACATGTGATGTCACAATGAAGCGCCAATGTAAAACACCGTGCAAGTACTTGTGCTCCCAACTCAATTGTTAGTTGCCAGGCTTTAGATTGTATAAAATAGAAAGTTTTCCAAGAAGATCTTTTACAGCTTTAAAATACATTCTCCCAGCCTCCAGCTCTGATAAAAGCCATGGCAGGTTTTGTACCTTCATTTCTTTGGGTTCTGCTGCTCTGTTTTTTTCTCTCTTTGTGGTTTTCACAAAGCAAAAACCATTGCCTAGAATCTAAAAGCACCTTTCAAATGCTCACTTTTCTTCTCCTTCTTCCTGTCTCTCTGTCTTCTCCCTGCACATTTCCCTCTCTTTCCCACTGGCTGGCCTCTTGTGCCTGCTGTGTGACGTATGCCTCTCTCCCACTGGGCTCTACCCCATCTGCGCTCCCATGGGATTGTGGGCCTGTTGTTGCTCTTTGAAGGGGCAGAGAGAAAACTTTAGGGCTGCACTCTAAAGAGAAGAAAAGCCTTTGGGAGGAGGGGCAGCACCTGGCCATAGAGGGCCTCTGTGATTTCATCTTTTTCCCCATGAGAAGATGGGGTGGAAGCATGCTCATGTCCGTATGGCCGGGGGACAGGGCGGTTTAGGGACGTGCAAGAGACTTTAATGTCACACATGGCATTGTATGTTACAGCGATCACTAAAAGCTGAAGGAGCGTCTCTCTGACTTT